CTTTCCTCCAGCCTAGCTGGCGGGCAAGCCCGCCAGCTAGCTAGCTAACTACCTAACTAGCTACCTATCTATCTCTACCTATCTATCTATCTCCCCAGCTAGCTAGCTAGCTAGCTAACTACCTAACTAGCTACCTATTTATCTATCTCTACCTAGCTGCGGCTGGGAATTTTCTACTTGCCTTTCTGCTGCCCTTTCTTCTCGGGGGCCCTTATCCTTTAGACTAGCCTCCCTAAACCCTAAACCCTAGTTTCTGTCAAACCCTGAGACTTATTCGCCTTGAAACCCTAGACCCTAGTCCGTTTCAAACCCTAAAACCCTGTTAGCGTTGCCGAGGGGCTGCGCTCAGAGGTTGTGGCTGAACTGGACGTCGAGGTGCCCCACTGATTCCCGCTGCTGCTGCTGCTGCTGCTGCTGCAGCAGCTGCTGCTGCTGCTGCTGCGCTGCTGCTGCTTCTAAAGCCTGCTGCTGGCAAGAGTTGAGGTAAGACCTGCGGCGCTCTCCATAATCCTCATCTGTTGCCTCGCTGAAGTCTTCTTCTTCTCCCTCAGTGTCTTCGGGAGTGGCCCCTGAAAACTGCCTCTCCACGTCTGCTGCTGCTGCTGCTGCTGCTGCTGCTGCTGGGGGCGCTGCAGCAGCAGCAGCAGCAGCAGCAGCAGAAGCAGCAGCGCGCTCTCGCAGCGTGTCCCAAGACCCGTCGTCTGCTGCGCTGCAGTGCACAGGACACAGGCAGCTGGGGGCCCCCGACAGCAGCGGCAGCAAACGGGAAAGGGCCTCTTCTTCTGTTTCTTGTCCAAATTCATCCTCAGCAGCAGCAGCAGCAGCAGCAGACGCTGCAGCAGCAGCAGCCACGGGAGAGCCTGGAGCAGCAACTACCACCCGCCGCGATCCACCGCCGTCCCCAGAGCGGGGAGACACAGCTACAGCAGCAACAGCAGCAGCAGCAGCAAGCAGCACACAGTCAACTCGCAGCAGCAGCGACACAAAACCCTCACGTCGTTGCTACTGCTGCTGCTGCTGCAGAGAGCTTATCTGCTGCAGCTGCAGCACAGGCGCTATGATAGAATCTGAAGCTGCCAAACCCTAAACCCCAAACCCTAAACCCTAAACCCTTCTGACGGCCTTCTGTTTGTGAGCTTTCTGGCTTCAAGTCCACGCCTTGAGCTGCAGCAACACAAACCCTAAACCCTAAACCGTAAACCCTAAACCTTAAACCCTAAATCCTAAGCCAACGCGGTAAACCCAAAGCAGTTGGCCTTGGAGTCTCTACGGCTCTGTGCATTTGCCCCTGAATCCTAGGCCGTAAGTTGCAATCCCGAAACCCTAAACCCTAAACCCTAAACCCTAAACCATCTCACCTGTGCTGCTAACGAATTTGAGCTTCAGCTTCTTCATAACCCAAAGCAGCAGGACGAGAAGAATGCAGAGAGCGCCTGGAATGGCCAAAAGCAAGGGTTTAGGGTTTGCGAGGCTTCAGGGGCTGCGGCAAGTCCTAGGTTCTAGGGTTTAGGGTTTAGGGTTTAGCGCACCTGTGGCGAGTGTGAAAATCGCCAAAGGGAAATTCGCTCCGCCCATGGGGGTCAGCCCGGTGATGACAAAAGACTTTTTTGCTCCCCACGCCTCCGCCGGCCATTCTGCACAAACCCTAAACCCTAAACCCTAAACCCTAAACCCTAAACCCTTGAGGGGCTCGAGAGCCACGAAGACGGCCGGGCGGCCGCAGCTGATCCGCGCTGCGGGCCCCCGCCGCGGGCCCCACCCGCAGCAGCAGGGCCTAGGGTTTAGCGCCTAGGGTTTACAACCTAGGGTTTAGGGTTTAGGGTTTGGGGTTTACTGTTGCTGGTCAGCACCGCGTAGTACTGCTCGCCGGGGACCAGAGGCTCCGACAGCACTGCGTAAAGCTTTTGGAAACTGGGGGTAAAAGGGGGGTGCAGCCAAACCCTAAATTTAGGGTTTGAAGGCAAGATCCAGGGTTCCAAACCCTCGCTTTCCCACGTCCTATTGGACACCTGCAGCAAACCCTAAACCCTAAACCCTAAACCCTAAACCGTAAACCCTAGCGGTAAGCTGGGGCTGGCGCCGGGCCTTTCAGTGGCCGCGCAGGCGGCCTGGTTGGTTTCACATGGAGCTCTGAGCGGAACGCTAAATCCTAAACCCTCGGGTGCAAACCCTAAACCCTTTTTTAGGGTTTACCATGAACTGGAGAAAGTCCCATTCGTAGGCAACGTTCTCGAAGTTTAGAGGCACGTCTTTAATGGCGCCGTCAGGCCCTTTTCTTTTAATTGTAATTTCGTCATTAAACAAAGCCACGGACTGCGCCCCACAAGGAAAGAAGTTGGGATCGTTGGGATCGCTGGGATCGGGATCGCTGGGATCGCCGGGATCGCCCGGATCTGTGGGGTCGGGATCGGGCGATCCCGGCCGGCGCTCCAGCGCGGGCAGTGTCTGTAAAC